ATTTACATAGACGTTCAATGTGGAAGAGCTTAAAGGAAGCACACTGAGCTTAATTGGAACAGCAACAATTTTTAATATATTTCATATAATATTTATAAAAATGATAAGGTTTAGCTAAATAAATAGTCTAGGTCATGTATTAAGTTCATACATATTTTAATATGAACAACTATTATTAACAATATCTATGAAATTATCTTCATTAATCTTATCGATGTCACTGAAGCTGTGTGATTTTCGTAGTAGTGCACCCTTTAAGCTCACCTTACAATAATATGAAACCTTTAAAAATAACAGCAGTGTAAAACCACAGACCAGCAATAAACTGTAAATTTATAATATTATGGATTTAAAAGTACAAGCCAGTAATGCCTGTGAAGTAATAATAGTTTTATACAGCAAGTCAGCTAACTGTGTTCTTTAGCATCTGCGCTATGTTTCTAAAACTATCTTTTGGATCTAACTGTAATTATTTACCACATCCAAGTTCCAGGTTATAATATACAAAAGTCTGAACATTAATCTCTTCATTTTACAGTAAAATTTACCCAAAATAAAGGCTTAAACATCTAAAAAATACACATTTAAAGAGCTACTCTTTTGGTGAAAGTTTTCAGACAGCTTTCAAAATGACCTCCAGACAGTGAACACATGAATACCCATATCTCAGTGTGCAATTATCTGATTGACGTGAAATTTGATCTGCACTGCACTGGATCTGCTGCACTGTGCTTCACTGAAACCTGGCTGAGTGAAGCCATTCTGGATATCATCTGCCGGGCTACCAGCTGTTCAGGGCAGTGTTGGGCAGTAACGCATTACTTAGTAACGCGTTACTGTAATTTGATTACGTTTTTAGTAACGGGGTAATTTAACGCGTTATAATTTTCAAAATAGTAATTAGAGTATAGTTACAAGTCGAGGTCTCTATACGTTACTGCCGCATTACATTGCTGACAGAATGTAGTGTTTTATCATCTAGATTGTAAAAAGGGTGTAGCAAGCAGTGTCGAGTCCAGTGCCAGTGGATTAGAGACCTGCTCTCCTGCGAGACCCGACGGACGGTGCAACGGTGTGCGGCGCGGGACAAGATGGGCGAGTGCGGGTGCGGGCAGGTAGACACTCGTGTGTGTGCGGGGTGCTGGAGAATAAAATGATTCACGGGACTCC